CCTACATTACCTGCATTACCAGTATTACTTGCATTACCAGTATTACTTACATTACCTACATTACTTACATTACCTACATTACCTGCATTACCAGTATTACTTGCATTACCAGTATTACTTACATTACCTACGTTACCTTCATTACCTACATTACCTACATTACCAGTATTACCTGCATTACCAGTATTACTTACATTACCTACGTTACCTTCATTACCTACATTACTTACATTACCTACATTACCTGCATTACCAGTATTACTTGCATTACCAGTATTACTTACATTACCTACATTACTTACATTACCAGTATTACCTGCATTACCAGTATTACTTGCATTACCAGTATTACTTGCATTACCAGTATTACCTGCATTACCAGTATTACTTACATTACCTACGTTACCTTCATTACCTACATTACTTACATTACTTACATTACTTACATTACCTGCATTACCAGTATTACTTGCATTACCAGTATTACTTACATTACCAGTATTACCTGCATTACCAGTATTACTTGCATTACCAGTATGACCTGCATTACCAGTATCACCTGTACTACAATAAAGTTCAGGCATAAAAACGGAGTTTTACTGGAGTATACGGGATGGTAACAATCTCTCCCTAATGGCTTTTGTTTGCTGTCCAGCCGCCATTCCTAGTTTGATCAAATATATTATTGCATTCTAGGGGGCGTGTAAGCTCCGCCTCGCTATGAATATCATTAAAATACAAAAATTTTGCGGCGCGCTTCGCGCGCCAGGCACATAAGCCCCCTCAATGCTGAAACTCTTCTGGCGCCCCTGGACTATACAATAGCTTTGCTATAAACAAATATTTCTACTCATTTTTGCCTTGTCTCCCTCTGTAGGACACAGGTTCATTTGGCTTACTTTGGAATTGATGCTTTTACAACCTAAATGGTTAAGCTATGCATTCAGATCCATATAAGCTTTGCCCTCCACCTTTCGAAACAAAATAACTGGCAGACTCATACATTTTTGTCTCTCTCTCCTGCTTCAAAGAAGAACTTGTTTGAAATAAAGATTTTACTTTTGTTTAAAGATAATATTAATATATTGCTTCAATGATAGTTGTTGCTCGAGTTGTTGCTATTATTTGTTTCTATTTTTAATTATGGCTATGTTTGTTTTTAATTGTGCAGCACTTTACAGTAGTGTAGATCTATAAAACAAGTTAATTTTTATTCATAACTATTAAAAAATAAGACGCAGAGTGTATCACTGTTTCCAATCCCGTATACATAGTCTCTAATATCTATGGTTATATCAATGTTACTTTTCATCGCCTTATTTCATCAGTTGAAGAATAATATTTTGATATCATTACAGTACAAGCACCACATCCTCCTACATTGCAACCTTGCTTAGTAGTTAGTACCAGTCAAAATGCACTACATAGAAATAGCATCATAATAAAAAAGGAAGTGGATATTGGTCCGGCAGCCGGACGCCTACTGCGCGGCTATTGGTCCGGCAGTCCCTATATAGTATACTGGGGCTTCGCCCCAGTATACTAATACACGATTTTATATACAGATATCAAGTATAAATACGACAATCAGCAACGTTGATGCAGCAGGGTTGCGGTGGTGTAGTGGAGAGGCTGGTCTGGATTGCACGGATGGGGTCAGTGGTTCGAATCCTGTCGGGACTATTGACTAAAACTATGCTGAAATGTTTGATTTTTTT